TGGTGTAAAGTAAAGTGAAGTAACGTAAAAGTGATAGGCCTAACGATTGAGATAGACTTAACGTTTAATATGTTAGAGTGGAACTAACAGTAATAAAAAAAACGTAAGAAGGATAATTTCATTCTGTCAAAGCGTGGATATAAAGTAATTGAATAGGCCTAAGTGGACTTTTGACAAGAAGAAGAGAACTGTATATAAATAGTGTTTATGATATGCCTGTAATCTCTATAGTGTGAATACTTTGTTGTACATACGTTTAACTTGTTCCGAATATATATATATATTATTTGAAAACAAGTAAAGTGTATACTGTTTATTCATCATTTAATTTATCGCTAACAAGTCACATACACCTACTGTAGAAGAATCCTAAGCCCAACAACAACATAATATATATATTTATATACTATTAAGAAATATAAGTAAAAGCCATTTATTTCGACAATTGGCAAAAAGAAGAACTTATATATATATATATAATTTTTTAAATCTGACAATAAGACCTAATGCAGATGGCGGTAGTCGCACAGCTGCGTGGAAGTTGAGGCAAATTTTGTAGATTCTGAAATAGTGAAAAGTTTAAATTTCAAGACCGTTAAACTTAAGATAAAAAAGGTTATTGTCTGATATTTTGTTATTTGACATCTTGATTATTTTCATTTTCCACGATTAAAGACTGAAAATTGTCATTTTTTTCATTTATAAGTGCTGCCTGAAGTGTAACCTGAAACGTGGGCTGTAGGTTTTATTTTAACATTTTTTACCCGATGGTGTTACATGTTCTAGATCAGGTAAGTGAAAAAACAAAAGCTGTTCTTAGATCTGAATTTTAATGTACCCAATACTGATTTAGTAGTCACTTAAGGAAACTTGCAGAACGTTATAATTAATATTATTAAAACGATCAAATCGTTCAATAAATATTTTGATAATAATCCAATACAAATAATTTTTAGAAGAGCTAAGAAACAAGAAAATAACATTATTGTTTTATTCTTTTTGTATTTTAACAGTTATTTTACTCCTATTCAACTGTGTTAATGAAATAAACCCATAAATTAGATTTTAAGCAACAAACACGTAATCACGTATTTTGAAGAACTGAAGAAAATAGTTTACATTTTAAAGTGTTTTTTTTTTTAAGTGAAATTGGACCCGCAAGGGCACTGCAAGTCATTAATGTGGAAAAATTTAAATATCAAATGATAAAACCTAGCTGTATTATTGGACCGTAAGTTCTAACCACAAACGTGTTATTTTATTTTAGCTAGATGTTGAAGGGGGGGTGTAACCATCTCTCCTGTAACGATTCGAACATAAATCTCGTTTCAGCTACTAGAAGTACTAACGGTAAGAAAGTACCTCATTTTTTTATATTTTATTAGTAAAAAGTGGGATTTAAATCAATTTTCATGAATACTAGGTGGAGTACTTTAAAGCTCTTATTTGTATTTCGCCTGTTTGACTTGTGAAGGTGTGGTTCTGAAGTAAATTTACACGAATATTAGTGGTATTTGAAAACTACTGAATATTTTTAAATTGATTTGCAACACTTTAGCTAATTAAGTTTAGATAACAATCAAAAGACACTTCGTATGTAAGAAAGTAAATAAAGTTTATAGACTTGTAGCAATTTACTTTAATTTGATGTAGCTAAAGTTGAGAGGTTATACTTAAAGTAAAAAATGTATTGATTTTTTTTCCAAGTTTCACATAAAAGGAAAATTCCAGCACTTAAAGTTAATCTATGAAATCGGCCCAAACGAATTTGTAAAATAATAATAAATAAATAAATACGCACATACTAGAAACTTAAGTTTTTAATCAGACCAGAATTTTGTTTCGTGCGACGAGTCTTTTACAATTTCAATATTTGATAACTTGTAGACTTCGTGGATTTAAGTCACAAATTGATTATATTCGTACGTTTTAGGCCTATTTTATATAATTTATTGGTCATATTTATGGTATAATTTTACTGAGCTGAACATTTTCAAAAAGAGAAAACTGAGAGTGGTAAGATTGAAAGACAAAAAGTCATTCTTTAAAAATCTAGAAAAATAATTCTTAAGCCTGGTCAGCCTATAGATGTGTATTCTGGGAGTTATGGCGGCTGTAAATATAAGATATTTAGAAGTTAGATTTAAAAAAAAAAATTTGATAAGGTAGAATAAGTATTGATATTTATAGGTGATCCTTGAAATGTGTGTGTGTATATATATAATTTTTTTCGAACAGGATTTTTAGCTGGAAACGGATTAAGTGTGGGCTGAGCACGGCTCGGTGGTTAGTATGCCGCACTGTGGATCTGTGGTTCGTACCCAGTTTCCGTCCCCCAAAAAATCTCCACACAATATGGAGCAGTGGATTTATTATAAGATTGACGGTTATCATATGTTACTATATTATTACTAGAGTAACCCAAGAGTTGGCGATGGGTGTTATTGACTGTCTTCCCTCTAGCTTGTTACTTCAAACGTTTTGAAGGCTAACGCAGATAGCTCTCGAGTAACTTTGCCTAAAATTCAACCAAGTGATGAAACGTCCCTTAGAACCGTAAAATGTCACGAGTTTCCGTGCTTCTTTTCAATTGATCGAATTTTGTGTGCACAGAAGTAAGATAGTGAAAACACCACTGGACAGTTGGCAGAACTCGAATTTTGTGTGCACAGAAGTGAGACAGTAAAAACACCATTGTCCAGTTAGCAATAGTTCTGCTTTTTTTTTATTTGTTGCTTCCTTATGTCTTACAAATTGATAAATGGCTTGGAATTTTATGATTTGTTTTGAAACCTTATTGATGCTAACTGGGCGAGAGGAATAAACCTATAAGCGAAAGAATGAAACCGGTACCGCAACCGAACCAGACGTTGTTTTTTAAGTTGATCGACCGAAAAAAAATTATAGTAGATTTTATTTCCAGTGGTATCTCACTTAATGTTGTAGCTTTTTTTTTCGTTACGTCAGATTGAATGCTCCTAGATAGTTTTTCATTTGTTGTTGAGGGATAATTTTGAATTAAAATCCTTGTAGTAGAAAACAAACCAGTTTCTTTAATGTAAAAAGTCTCGAGAAAATAATGAATCTCTTCGGATTCAATGTATATGGCGTTAGATAACGGTTTCTAACGTAAATGAATAATTAAGCATCGTCATGGTGACTTGAGAATCTGTTCAAAAACATAATTACGTATTTGGTATTTTCAACTTGAACGGTACTTCATTCAATACATGGGCTAGACGGCCAAGTCGGAGAGCCCCAGGCTTAGGCAAGCCAACCCTCATTTATAAGTACTGATTAAAGCTACGGCAATCAAGTCATCAGTTGTCTCAGAGTTTACAGTCGGTACCGGTACTGGTTTATAGTCATCATATGTTAAGAATAATATCTGTTATCACGTGTCCCATCTTCGGAGTTTTGACCAAACGCCTCCTGATATTTCAGCTTCCTTTTCACAAAATTATAAATGTTTGATGTGGTAGTTTTGAGTTAATATTTCAGTCGATAAGCGAATCTCGTAGTGACAATCGGCAACAGCGTGAAATATGGGAAACACGCGACTCCCACGCTCTGGAAGAGAACGTGAATGTGCCAACGGGACTGATTGCACGTTAGATAGGTACGTGCGTGATTAACCGTTTGCATGCTGGCAGGTCAAACTGCGCATATCACGATATTTTAGTGAGTTGCATTCAAAATTGAATTAAACTACTTAATCATCATGGTATACAAACAAACGTGACATCAAACCATAGATAATAAATCAAATTTTAATATTATATAAGTTTTAAGCTTTAATTATATAAGGAAATATTTAAAAACAACCTCAAATTCCCCTAGAATTTAAATATTTGTTATTGAGCCGTCTTCTCTTCTGGATCGTTTGGTCCACTCCCTAGACAACTACGAAATGTAACGTAAAATATCCTACATAATTTCGTCATCGATATTCTGAAGTTATATTTTTATATTCTTCAATCTTATGGGGCTAAAGAGCAACCAATGAAAATTCAGAAACGCCTACCTCTGGCATGCTCTAATTTACAATTTGCTAATAGATTTTTCTGAGGCCGATTCTCATTAAATAGATTTGAACTGATTCATTGCTATAGTCGTCATACCACGTGAGCTTACAGATAATTGATAATTTTGTTTGATGTGAAAAACATTTCCCCACAAAAACACACTGGGAAGAATAGTTGAATTTCTAACTGCTCAAGTCACATGTTTAGAGATGCTCGCGTACTGGTACGGGCAACATGGTACCGCCGGCACTATTGCAAATCCCGAGTTGTCTACATGGCTGCTTTTAACCTAATAGCGATATTAAATGTCATGGTTATCACGCTCTAACAGCTAAAAGTGCGTACCATGTTCAGCGATATATATCGCGACTCGAACCTTGACCTTTCGATCCACAGCCCGGTACACTAACCACTAGGCAGCGCCAGTCCCTCAAAAAGATAGTAGCATTACCACATTTGAAGCATGGGTAACTTGATATTACGTTATAGAACATCTATTTTCACGATTAAAATGTGTGTTTTCATGTGTGTTTGGCGTTTTCTGGTGGTTAGGGCTCTCGGCTCGCAACCTGTGGATCGTGAGTTCGAATCCCGACAACCAAACATGCACGTCTTTTTTAGCCGTGGAGATGTTATAAGGCGACAGTCAATCCCACTATTCGATTAGTGTAGCCTTAGAGTTGGCGGTGGGTGGTGTTAGTTAGGGACGGCCAACACAGCTTCGAGTAGCTTTGGGTGAAATTCAACAAAACAGTTAATCACGCGTGTTTTATGAGCAAAATAAGAGACACCGTTGAATTAAAGTACTATTTATTACATGTGCCAGAAGATCAATCATATCACTCATTATATAGTGTGAGTAAAAATAAATTTTAATTTTTTTTTTTAGTCTTTAGAGACTTGATGTATTGTTAATTTTATCTTAGGAATCATCGCTAGATTTTAGCGTTTACGTATTCGATTTTCGTCACAAATTCAGCGTTTGAATAAACCGTTGAAACCAGCATGATCTGTTTTGTGAAGATTGCGTTTTGGATGACCACTTGCACCGTCATAACGTTTTATATATCCCCGAAACCCAGCATTGTCGATCTCGTCCATATTGCGTTTTGCGAATCCATTGAAACCAACGTTATCTATTTCATCAAAATTTCTTTTGCTTGTACCGAAGGCCCCGCCATTAATTGTGTCGAATCGCTTGGAATAACCAAACGATCCTCCGCTCAAGGAATCCAAATTTCTTGTGGAATGAGATGACTTATGAAAGGAAGAGTCACGGATAGACAATATTGCCCTCATTACGTCATTTCCGTCGATGTTGTCAAAAAACCACAAGATTCTTCCTTCGCTGAGTTCGTCCAAAACTTGCAAGATGTCGCTGCTTCTAAATATATCCAGCATGCGATTCTTTATCAAAAATCGCAAGATGTCGCCACCTGTCAGAGTACGCAATGGGGTGTAAACTTCATTGGTGTGGAGTTTGCCGACCTTAAGGGGGGAAAAAGAAGAAATAATTTTATAAATAATGATAAAATACTAAAATGGAACCAAAGAAAATTTTAACATATTTCACCTATTGTATAGTATCCTTAATTATTACTATCAATCAAATAATTGTGGGTTCATAGTGCTTTAGGCAATTTTATCAAATTAAGTAATTACGTTTTTTTAATGAAGTGGTATTCAGTTATTTGATATCGTTACTTATGTGTAGTCTTAACACTTCGTTAGGGTCTGACATGGCCTGGTGGTTTGAACGCTCTAATCGTAATCTGTGGGCGCGAGGTCGAAACCCGTCGCCGAACATGCTCACCCTTGAAGCCGTTATAACGTTTCAGTATATACCCACTATTCGTTGGTAAAGAGAAGTACAGGAGTTGGCGGTGGGTTGAATTAACTAGTAGCTTACACTCCAAAATTGTAGATGGTTAGTGCAGATAGCTCCGAGGCAGCTTTGCGTGAAAATTCAACAAACAAACAATTCGTTAATCGTACTTGTTTCTGTTAATTTCACTAATTAATATAAGTAATAAATCGCTAAGTTCTGTTGATGTGATTTTACAAGAAACTGTAAACTATGTAGTGTTAAGTGAATCATTTCCACTTATTACCTATTCACTTTGGTCTAAGAAGCTTTTGTATGTAAAAACCTATACAGGAATATGCGTTTCAGATGAACTGGTAAATGTGTTCTTGTCAAAGCATATCACAATAAGCATAAGTGCTTTTAGGAACATTAGTACTATCACGGAACAAGTAGCCCATTGTGTATGTAGTTTTGTGTTCAACTACCAACGAACAAATTGATTACGAAGAGCTCTAACTTTTGTCATAGTTTCAAGAAGTTATAAATGAATGATCTTTCGATGTACACTAAAAACAGCTAATTAAAAATAGAGCAAATAGAATCTCGCATTAGGATTTTTTCCTATAGGCCTAACTCGAGAATGTGCTGTCATGGAAATATTTGTGAAAGTGTACATATTCGTACGTAATCAGGATGTTAAGTTCAGTACATCCATCCAGGAAAACGGTGTGAAAAAAAACAAGTCGATGAGAACAAACTCGAAATACGAGTAATTTCCATCCATACTTCAAACACAAAATATTTCTCGATTATCTCTTCCTGTGTATTGTTAAAATATTTTTTACAGCTGCTGATTTTATGATCGACTCTTCCGTCAGTAGATAGATCAAACGGCAGGAGTGCCTAAGCCTATTTTACCTAAGCCTATTTTCAATGGTGAAAGCAAGACGGTACGGTAACCTAAAGAAGATATTTTCAAATCAAACATAAATGAAATTATTTGATTTCCCCCCTATTAATTTTAGTAATCGTTGTAATAAAAATGTGTATATTAAAATGTTGTAGTTTCGTCCTACTTATATTAGCATTTTTGGTTTGCTGTTTAGTGTAATAGTCATTATTTAGTTTGTTTAGTATTTAATGATTAATATGACACAAAACCCTGACACAATGGACTCCAAACTCCTTAACCGTTAACGTGTACTCAAATGTTAATATGAGAAAGTCCCTCGGTGGGACAGCGGTAAGTCTTCGAATTTACAATGCTAAAATCAGGTGTTCGATTCCCCTCGGTGGAGACAACAGATATCCCGATGTGGCTTTGCTATAAATAAACACACACACACACAAAATATGAGAAACTCATTTATGTGTAATTATTAATTATTTATAGAAAGTGTCGTGGAGGTTATAGCACAGTTGGATTCTTTTTTTTTTTACACATGAACCCGTTAAATTAAGCATTTTCTGGGCTATTAATTTTCCTGTGAAGAATCTCTAGTTTTAAAATTATGTCATAAATATTTTATTTTATTTTTATTGTTCGATTGGAAGCGTGTTTTGACATCTGATAGCATTCTAGTAGTTATTGGCAAAGGCAAAGTAGTTCTGATTAAAACTACATTAGATTCTCATAATTATTCTATAAACTTCTCCAGTACTACATAGTACTAAAATATATTGTACAGTACTTTAAAAATATCATTAGTAGACCCATCTAATGCAAGTATAGGGAAATAAAGAAAAATATGTATATGGTGTTTTGGGTCGTTTTTGCTAACCACATGAACCTATATTTATGTAGGATTTGAAGAATTATTATGAATTATTACTAACCACATGAACCTATATTTATGTAGGATTTGAAGAATTATTATGAATTATTACTAACCACATGAACCTATATTTATATAGGATTTGAAGAATTATTCTGAATTATTACTAACCACATGAACCTATGTTTATATAGGATTTGAAGAATTATTATGAATTATTACTAACCACGTGAACCTATATTTATATAATATATGAAGAATTATCCAGTAGACAAGTTGTGTCAAATATTAAAATTAATTACGAAGACAACCAACTCTATCGTTCAATGCAATACTTGTTATTACGGTTTTGGGGAATTACACCAATCATCATTATCCATCCTGGACAAGAGCAAGTCGAACGAAACCAGTTGTGATGGGCATTTAGGATTTAAAACCTGGAATGTTCGAAAATTAAGCGCACATAAAATCCAAAAGAACAAGACCAGACTTGTTATAGTGGTGGAGTTTGTATTATATGTATGATGTTTTTAGTTGTATTTTACTCGTCACAGTGAACATACGTTTAGATGGGATTTGAGAAATATATAGCAGTTAAGCTATTAATTCATTCTTCTGAATCGTTCATTATATGAACCCCAATATGCCGTTTGATTTACCACTTATCACTAAGTTATACCACAAAATGGCTCAGAAAATTTAAGACTATTTTAATATTGTCAAGATTATGAAATTAGCTCAAAGAAATAGTCAAATTTGTTAGTCTTAACTTGGCAGAACATGTATTCCACTTTTTAATTAGTTTTAATTTTCAACACAAAACTAAATGCTTAGCTATCGAAATGAAACAAAGCGTTGCTGATGTCAGAAGTTATACTTTCCTTAAACAAAATTCAACTTATTTAAGTAATGTAAAAGTTGGCATATCTTTACAAAGAGTGAGATGACACTGATATTCACTTTTTTACATTCGCTAAAAATTAATGATTTACAAATTATTTAAACGCTAAAAGACACAGGAAAAGGGGGGGGATACTAGAAGGAAAACTAGAAATAAAGTCTCGACATTTTTACACTGATTCTTTAATGTAATTGTACCACACGGAGTTATTAGGTCTTTCATGAGCAATGTAACACGTGTAACAATGTAACCAATATAATGTGTCGCCATCTCGTGAGGAAGAACATAAACCTATGTACATGAAGAATAATCATTATTCCAAAAAAATATATGAATTGCTTTTTTTTACAAAATAATCAGAAAGTACTCTCATTTTTTCCCCTCTATCTCTTTCGAAATTTTAATGTTCACGAGAAGCCACGCAACACTTCGTGACAATACTTTGTCACGGATACCATAGAATTTGCTAGCAAAAATACGATCTTTCTTCCCCATATAACAACAGAGCAATCAATGAGATTGCGTAACCTCGTCCCGCCATCCTTTTCGAGATTTCTTGCTTTTATATTGGATAACGTAAAATTTCACCTTCGAAAACTCAGAAAATCCTTCTCGGATCCAGAAAGATAAACAATCCGGATTATTTTTTATAGAGTGATGAGGAGTCTCAACCTTAATGTGTCCATAAAATTTGGTACAAATCCGATCACGCTTTACAGAATTAACAACCCAAAACCGCGAAAATGCCTTATCTCCCTTATTTAAAAAAAATTCTTCAAAGTGATCGAAAATCCGGATGCAGATCCGGACCAAATATGAGTAGAACTATCCCATACTGATTCCCCATGTTGTGTACAATTTTCGTATACAGCAGTTTTATTAGTTTTGGCGACATGCGTGCGGAATCACCATCACACACACGGACCCGATTGCAATACCGTTGCCCCTTCCGGTTGAGAGGGTAATAATAATAAACTTTTTTTTTTATTTCAGCTAACGTTTTGCCATTATGGCTTCACCGGGGCTGGTAGTACCTGGAAATCTTGTCATGGTAACCCTAATGAAGCCACAATTGTGAAACGTTGGCTGAAATGTTTATTATTATTATATATAGAGAGTAAGAGTCGTTTTGATTTCTAACTTTATTGTTAAAATATGCGCCCTCTAATGGCACAGCGGCATGTCTGCGGACTTACAACGTTAGAAACCGGGTTTCGATACTCGTGATGGGCAGAGCACAGATAGCCCATTGTGTAGCTTTGTGGTTAATTACAAACAAACAAACCCTTCAGTAGTATGCACTACGAATTGTGAAAAACATAGAATTGGCCGTAGGAGCTCATTACATACCAACTTTCAACATTGGCCGTTTAATTGCCATTGACTTGTTCGTAAACACTTGTCCTCAAATATTCTCTAGTTCTTAACTAGAATTATATTTGTTTGTAAAGCTTACATTTTCCTTAAGTTGAATGCAATCGCATTATTTATAATATGGACAATAATAGCGATACCAGTTGGTCATTTGTACAAGTGATTTCAACAGACAGATAACGGACATCTTATGTTCAGTTCCCCTCTACTCGTTTCACTGGCTCAGCAACTAACTTAATGACTTGTATAGCTAAAAATAAGGATTCGATACATACGGTGGTAACAGTACAAACTGCACGTTGGTTATTTTTCCGCTTAAAAAACAAACTCATCTTAAAGTTTCAGTAGAGAAATTCAGACGTAAAAGTTTAAGTAATTTTTTAAAAGGATTATTGATAACCCTTGACGTTCTAGCAAAACTAATATAAAAACCTTAAAAGTTCGGGGCTAATAAAACGTCTCATGGCCAGGTGGTTAAGGCACTCGACTCGCAATCTAAGGGTTGGGCGGTCGAATCCCCGTCCCACCAGACATGCTCGCCCTC